ACAGCTTGCCTTCTCTCCCGTAAAGAGGCAGAGTTTAATCTCACGCCGTGGTCACAGATAAAAGTCGTGCGTGCTAGTCGCCGAATTATGCTTCAGTCTGCTTGACTCTTCGATTAATAACGTCATCTGATAAGAAAAGCCTTTTGCGGTTTGAGTAACGGTCTGTTATTGAGATGATCGTTACATAATTTCCTTCTGATGTCGGCAAATCAGTACCGTCGTTACATCATGTTAATACGTACCATGACTGTATGAGCTGTGGTAGCGCCTTGGGAGGTCCAGAAAATTGACACTGCATCGTTGACCCTGGTTAACCTGTAGTTAACTTACGTTAAAAGATCGTCTGTTAAAAGATGGTGTGATGCACAATGAATACTAATACTGATGTCAACATTTTACGAAACCGTGAAAGTTGTATGGTTAGCGACACAAATTCTAAAGGTCGTTAATCACCAATAAATGGGGACAAATAGTCTGTTTAATGCTTTCAGTGTTCTTGTTTCTTGTTGGATGCACGTTTTAGCCGTGAGTGTTTTAAGTAATGTGGCTTTAGAAATTATTGCGACTTTTACCTTGCCAATTGCTGGCGTCTGCAGCAGCGAATATCATCAGCGGGCCACGTGTTTTGTGCACTCAATAATGTTTCATCCTCTGTGATGTAAATTAGTTACCTGATACCAGAAAACACGATTTGTTAACGTCGTCGGCACTTGATAGTGCGTTCGTAAAGTCTCATCAAGAACTAAGACGTGTCTTATTGATGAACCTTAGAGGAATGCACGCGAATCGTAGCGACATGAATTAAAAGTGGTATAGGAAAATTACTTAAAAGTTAAAGTAATAACTGATATATTTTACAAAATAATTTTATTGTGTAACGTGATAAAGCGTCATTAATTAAAGTAAGAAACAGATTAGTTAGGGTATGGAGAAATTAGTTTTAAGATTGCTGTCTTCTGGGTTGTGACGACGTGTAGCCTGGTAGAAGTTTACCAACTTTTCAAAGGTCCTTGTTGCCGCCATCATCAGGGCGATACTCAAATCCTACGAAGTTAGTTTTATTAAATAGATTTCTTGATTATCCGAGCTGTTATTATCTTCTGAAGAAGCAACCTGCTCCATTGTATGAGTCTGTTTTATTTTCACGTGGTGTACGTCCCGTACCACCAACCGACACGTGTGTATTTGTAATTGTCAGCGAAGCTCGGAGATTTATTGCGACAAGTAATTTCAGATTAGTTGTTTTTAACAGCAATGTTAAATGCCTATGTCAGATTTGAGGGAGGGCTATTGTGTTCCAGCAGCAACCGCTGTGGCTTGCCATGATCTTGTTCATTACAAGTGGCTGAGAGATTTTGCCTAATGTATGTCATTCTTAGATTTGTTAGTATGGAAACGAAGTTGCTATGACATTGAACTAACTGCGGTTAAATAGGGATTTATATAGGTCTGTCGACTTGTGTGGGATGGCCATTTCTTTGACTGAACATTACATATGACCTTTGGCTGCTTCAAGTATCTGAATGAAATACGACCACCATTAAAGTGAATTATAATTTAATGTTCAGAAATTGTGAAAGTTTTTATTAGCATTTCTAGAACACTGCTGTTGTACAGTGGGCATAGTCTTGTTAAAAAGATGTAGCTTCCATGAAATTTGATGTAGCTTGTTTCCTATTGGATCGTACGAAATTTAGTAGACAGTGCTTATGAATATTCATTGCAAAGGAATAAATGCCAAAATTGTTTTTCTTTCATATTACACTCTACGTTTTTTTGAGTGTGAGGTCAGGGTTTCTGGATAGATACTCGCCTGGCCAAAATTATTTACTTTTATGAAACCCGTGATTCTCAACCGGGGGTTTGCGGACGCTTATGGGTCTGGCAAGTTGTGCTTAAGGTATCCACAAATAGAGTAGATTCAGTTTTTTATTTTTTCATGTTATGACTGTCTGCTTTAAACGTTTTTTTCCATCACATATTTTACTTGCACGCTGGAGTAAAACGAGACGAAAATATATGCATTCTATCCTATTTTAGTAAATCTGTGTTCTATTTAACTATCGCTTCACGATCTTTTCAATCCCTCCCTCCCTCCATCTCTCCCTCCCTCCATCTCTCCCTCACTCCCGCGTGTGTCTTTGCATCGGTCATCCAAGCGCGGAATTGTGTTGTGGCCACTGAATACAAATGGTGTTACAAGGATGGACGCATGTTCTGTGAATAAGTACAGCGTAGCCGCTCATGCTCATTCCACTCCCAGCGGACTTCTTTTGGCGCGCGGACAGTAGAATTCCGTAATGGTCAGATCATGGCCACCCGTTTGTCTTGGCTGTAGATATTTAATTGATTTTAAATGGAAAGGAACTGAGCAGTTAAAAATGAAATTGATACCTGGATAAGGTAGAAAGAGAAATCAGTAAGTGAAAATAGTTTTGGTTCTACCATAAAGTTTTGATGCCATGTGAACCGACAGTAACATTTCATAATTTCCCAAAGCCTGTGTACCCTGCGTAGTTAATTTATTTTGTAAGGAGTCAGGGTACGCATTTGAAAGTCTGCGAGATGGAATGTGTATTCAAAGTTGAAATTCTGTACAATTAAAACGAGAGACTGGCATCTTCTTCAGGCACCGGGCCACAAATTATTGACATGGCTCCATCACATGTTGGATCGTCTTTTATAAATTTGAGACGCGACAAAGGAAAATTGTCAGACATCATGTTCCTGTAATGCAGGCAACTAACCTTTACGAAATGCTTCACCCGGGATATTTGATCCAAATCTCGAATTTACTGAACTATCTCTCTTGACAGAAACATCGTAGTCTCGTGATTTTAAATACCTTAACAATGTGAATAAACGAATTCTTATTATCTGTACATAAATTTAACATATTTAAAGAGATTATTGCACGTCTTAGCCAGTCGCTTATAAAGAAAGATGCTCCAGCGATGTGCGTGAAAGATAACGAAACAGTAGTGTGCCTCTAGTGACCTATCATGTCTTCAGGAATAATTTAGTGTTGTCCTGGAAACCCCCATTGTCTTGAACCGTGGCATTCCAGGACTAATGAGAATAAACCACTGATTTTAAAATGCCGCCATGAATTTCAATTTCACGTTGGATTCTACCAGGACACGAAACCTGAACTATTCACCAAGGTGGAAAACAGTTATATGAGCTCTAATGATATGATTCGGTTTATTGCTTAGCGGTATTCTGATCTTTACTGCTGTTTTTATTCAATTGGTGAAGCGCGTTCTGGTTTACTGTGTGATCGGTTGGCTACACTGTAGGCGCTGTATAATCTAGAATCTTATTCATGATCCAAGTTCTTTCCGTATTTCTGTCGATATGATGACAGGTAACCTATCAGTCGTCGCTGAAAGGGCAGATTTTGAGCTCACCCGGATTACGTTCATTGTGGGTGTGCATTTTTTTACGGTATTTCTTCTGGAATGGCACAATCGATACACATTAACCATTTAGATTCTTAGTATTTTTTTTAGAAATCTGCTGAGAGAAATTTGATTGCCAGTTTTACAAATGCTGTCACAGGCACATGTAAATAAATGTATAGACTGTTTATATTTCGGAATACTAGATTATAGATTACAATGTGACTGGGAACCTACTTTAAAGTAGAAAATTGGATTTTCGGTTTGTTACGTGAAGTTACTTCTGGATAAAGTATAGAAACGTTCATTTTAAATGCCACATTTCTGTTGAAACGCATAAAGGACATTTCATGAAGTGAGTTTGGACTGATTATAATGACAGCAAAACTTATTTTCTACAATTAATTTAAGTTGCATTGTGGGAATCAAGCTACATACTTCTCAACAGGCACCAAAATGAAATTCATTCTTGCAGTTTTCCGTGAAGAGTCTGTAATTGTTCAATTCAAGAAACATCTCACTCAAGTTTATCGCCGTCTTAAAGAAATTTTGCCGTGTCCAGAGCAAGGGAAGCTGCTCGTTGCCATCACTTTGTACTGTCAACTAACTGTGCACGAACCATGATCTCACGAGAGTATAATGCAGCTATTTTGATATTTGATTTTTAATTTAATTAGTCTGAAACAGGGTAATGTGTATCATATACCGAGTTGTGATGCGGTAATAGCACTTTGATAATTTTCACGGCCTTTTCAATTCAATTAATTTATTTAAGTGCTTGACAACAGCCCAGGTAAGGCCAATAACAGTCAAGCACTGAACAACATTACAGGATGAAATATAATACAATGATTACATTCATTTCAATAATAATAAAAATAAAACATTACAAATACAAAATTAAACAAACGAAACTAAATATAAAAATGTATCATTACTACTACTAATAATAATTCAATTCCTTTATTGAGTGATAATTCAAAAGAAAATGGGCTAATTAATATGCCTAAGTAATATAATAATTTAATTCATTAATACTAAAAGAACAATAAACAGTAAAAAAACTAGAAAAACTTACAAGATTAAATACCATAAAATATGGTCAAAATGAATTTTGAATAATAATAATAATAATTCAACTAATTTATTTACGTGTTTGTCAACAGCAAGAAGCCAATAACAGGCAAACACTGATAATATATACAATAATAATGAAAAATATTACAAAAAGAAATTAACTAAACTTATACATGTACAGTATTAAATATAACAGCCAAATATATATAACATATATAATTAACGTAATGTGTTAATCAACCTATGTTTAACATGGTTCTTGTGCCTAAAATAAATTATGAGCAACCTTGAATGCGCATAGGTATTGAATACTGGACCTACCTTCAGTGTTGTCTCCTCATTTCATACGTCATGGCGTGTTCTTCAGGCCACAAAGTAACATAACCTTTACTTGTGTTATGATTGGGTTTGCTGTGTTAATATAGTTCCCAGCACAAGTTCCTTGCTTCTTAGTAAGGGCCTAAATGGATTTTTGTTGTGTTTCGTCATGTCTTAAGGAAAATTATGTTTCGTTCTTTTCAGAGATGGCAGCGACGTTGGTTTGTGCTGTACGACGACGGGGAGCTGAGTTACTCCGTGGACGAACACGTAAGTAGCACGAGCTGATCTGTCTCCTGCAGAGAGCCTTCCTGCTGGCGAATCCCACTCTGTGAATTGTTAGGTGAAGTGTGATAATAGTTCACATCGTTACAAAACACTGCCGACTTTGTGCTGTGAAGTCAATGAAGAATTAACAGGATGAACTCAATAGGTGTTGTAAATTAGATGTTCCTTCCTACACTTTAAATGTCCTGTTCACAATCACTCTGAACAATTTTAAAACAGGTGATGTTTGATTACGCAGTAGCAGTCGAATGTGTAAAGGAACCTCCTCGTTATAGAAGGAACCCGACATTTTGTTACTGTGGACTGTTTCAGGTGTCAGATTTAAAATTCGGTTGGAGACCGAGAATTCTGAGTGTGCTTGGTTTATCTCCGTTAGTGCATCAGCTTATAAAAAAGCATTTGACCTGTCCAGTAGCTTATTTTTTCTCTCTTCAATTTACCGTAAAAAATAATTTTACTGTTTTTAAACAGCTAATTGTCTTCCCTGACAGCAAAGTCTGAACATTCCCAACTTTCAGATTGTTTTCCTACACCAGTGTGTGCCACAATTATGGAATTACTTCAGTAAAGTATTTTATCTGATTCCCATTTTTGACTCTGAATTGAGTTTTGACATGGGTCAAGGCGAATACGTCTGACAGAGTGAATTTCTTAATGTGAACAGGGTACGATCATTTCCCCGCTGATCCATTTCCTTACCCTCTGAAAGATCCAAAAGAAATATATGGGTTTATTTATTTACCGTGAGAAGCGTTTGTAGCTCTAGCTGTGTTTAGATCGGTGCGTCACCGCAGCTGAGTCTGTGCGACCACCACTACTAATGAACTCCCCTCTCTCGGCTTACACATCGCGCATTTAGGTGTCACCACTACTCGCGCGACCTCTACTGTCAACTATAAAATGGCGAGAATCTGACTTCTGTTACTCTGCGCCATAAACAAAACACGGTAGAAGCAGATATTTATTTTTACTCTAAACAGAAGTTATTTCTCGGAGCAGATGATTTTACACATTGTAGTTATTTGATTTAAATTTACGATCCACGTGTTGAAACTTGTTGGTGATCACCTCTTGTAGTCTATCTGAAATGAATTCGCAATAAAACTTTTGTTTAAAACTGCGGTTGTCTGTTTGTGTTTTCGGTTTTATGACTCTGTAGGCCAAATAGAAAAAAACCCGTAAAAGTTTACGTTTTTTTCTTAATCAGCTAATTTGTCGGATAAATTCTTTACTCTTAGATTATTTCCTTTCGTCGCTTTATCTTTTGTGATTTACGATCAAATGCCACTATTACGGTGCAGCGTGTAACTCAGAATACTTTACATTATTATAATTGTTCTGTTCATTGTAACGTAATTTCTGTTGTCATTCGTTAGATTCTGCTAGTTTAACTATGACATTTCTTGACATCAGCTGTTATCATATGATTTATATTACACTTCATTACCACTCTTATCAATGTTTTGCTAGCTTTATATTTTAAATTACAAGAGTATTGCTCATTTAATATAATATTTATTAATTGTTTCGCTGCAGAATGTTTTATTAGCAGATTAGTTCACGATTAACTGATCAGTTGCTCAGTTAACGAGAAATATTTATTTTCATGAAAATATTTCTCCATTTGTTGTCCAGTTTTTTACATCGTCGTGGTAATATCAAAACGTATAGGCCATACAGTGATCAGAGCTATAAAAATTTCAGTTTAGAAGAATTAAACCTACATCATGTTTCATTACATAATACAGGGTGATTCTAAAAGGTCTTTACAACTTTGAAAGTGTATAGAAATTTATTCAGAAGGCTTACAGAATCAGTTGAGGTGTCATTTTGTAGCAAAACAAATCAAGTTTGACTCACGTTGTGCTGTAGTACCGAATTACGTGACCGCCGTGTATAATAATGTTATTATCAGACAAGTTAGCCTTGTGGTATCAAGTGTTGTGTTGGAATCTTGGCACGCAGGTTCATTTCTCGGTCAGTAATTTGCCTTGAAATATATCACGATCGCCTTTCTGACTCCCTTATTTTTCATAATTTACGCCTACAGCACATAATCTTTAAATGATTATGTTTGTCCAATTTCTCTGCACTGTTTTGATGCCTATTTTAATAAGTAACCTAGATGATTTTATTTTGATACGAATAATGTCACGGAGCAGATAATTAATCAAGTTTCGCAATGTCAAGATTTTTAATAGAAACTGGCATTGCTTATTGCGTAATTAAGTTGAGCCTTGGACAGGTGTCTGTGTGGTATTGGACATTTATTAATGGTAGTGTATCTGGACGCTCGGGTGTAGCTCGTATGTGGCAGTGCCAGGGACATACATGGAGCCGAATTGCGTCGAACTTATGGCGCCGAACCAACCTTTTATAGCCTAATAAATCATAATATTCATGACCGTAAGGTAGACTTATATATTGTGTTGCTATAATTCCTACCACGTAACTCTGTCCTTTGTCGAGTAGCTTCTAAATTGTTTTATTTTAGTTTCTGGCTTTGATCAAGGATTAGTGGCTTGTGTGTATGTATACAGCGTTATCTGATTATAGATCGGCTTTAAGACTATTGTTACGACACATTTTAAATACGCAGTTAGTATCATGGCTGACTGATAAATAATTCCATGTATCGGAATATTGTGACATTTCGGTAGAAGATAAAGTCTTCAGACTTACACCAGAATATTTCATCAGGAAGGACTCGAATTGAATGGTCTGCACCAGGTACTTGTCTGTGCTGATGTCAGTTTGCTGGGGGATTCTGTGGGTACCATAACCAAGAATGTAGAAACTCTCCTACAGGACAGCAAGGAAATAGGCCTAGAAGTAAATTTAGGCAAAACGAAATTCATGGGCATAATACGGGACCCAATATCACCAACAACGGCGGAAATTATGAGTAGAATACATTCGTGAAACGCTTATTTTTATGTAATTCAAAAATTATCGTCAGACTTTCTGGTACTCCGGACCTCCTTTCGAGGATAATATTTTTGATTAATCCTTCAAAGACTAACGGTAACTATTTGCACAAAATTCTTCGACAGTCAATAAGTTTACCTATTTTATTGTATTTTTTTGTGTTTCTACCTCAAAACACGTTTCAATTAAAAAAAAAATTAATGCTGTTCAGGGAAATTAAACGAAACCCACTCTCTGTTAAAGCACGTGGCACACATAATTACCATTGGGCGCTTAAAGGATTAAAACCGCCCAATTTAATCAATAAAGTAAACGTGTTGGTTTATTAATTTATAATAGACACTATTTCAAGACGTAAACCTGTTTACGTTTATCAGTAGGTCGATCAGTTTGATGCCTGAAAATGAGCAAAGTGTTGTTAGGCCTGTAACTACTGATCCTGTTGTCTGTGTGCGTCCGTCATGAGTCACACAGCTTTTTAAAACCCTGAGGCTTGTACTTGTCACTCGCACCTGCACGCCGATCATGCAATGTAGGCCATGCGTCCGACCGATAACCATGACAAACAGCACGACGCAGTTGACTGCGACCAGCTGCTAAGGTTCTTCACTTCAAAGGCTTTTCGAGGTGTGCCCTTACTTTTTTACTTTAGCTTTCACCTTGAGGGGTTTCGAAGATTTAATCTATGGCGAAGGGAAAATGAGCAGATTTTCTGTAATCGCCGGTCTTCAGCTTACCCAATTGTGTAGAGTTCACATTTCGTAGACACAAGGAAGACGAACTTGTAGGAACCGTAAATATGTTTTATGCTCATAGCGTCATAGATTACTTACTACAGAGGCTCCCTGTACATAAACGTGTAGATTCTTTTTAACTTCAATAATTGATAATTAGAGCTTTAATGACCTATCCGTTTTCTAAAAGTACAACAGATTTTGCTGATCTGTAGTTTGTAATTGAAATGGCGGTGTGCTCGTGAATTATTATGATTGTCAGTTGCTACAAATTAACGAACACTACCGATGCTGTCCTGGGTAGACATCTTTTAGAACAGTGGTATTCAACCTTTTTTGTTCGCGTACCCCCAGATATAATTTATCTTTAACTTTGTACCCCCAAAGTTGTTGGTGTATAATTCAAGTTATACATAGTATATAATCTACATCTAAAATAAATTAAATAAATTACATTACTGATTATTCAGTGTTTATAATAAATAATATATTTTCTTAAATTTCACGTACCCCCTAAGATGTCTGCGCGTACCCCCGGGGGTACGCGTACCCCAGGTTGAATACCACTGTTTTAGAACACCTGACGTTAGAACTTTAACCCTGCCCCACAAATGAGGTAACTCTATAAACATTTCGTAAAAGTTAAATTTTTTGTATAGATTTAATTTTTATTGAATGAACCTTTAGTTATACCCTTGCGCAATATTAATCGATAAATATAAACGTAAGGAGAATCGCGATCAATCGAAGCTAAACGAGAATCGCGATCAATCGAAGCTATGTGCTTGAGGGGTTCGCTACGGTCTGTCTGCCTGTCTGTTCAGAGGCACGTCACCCTGATTTTTAGCATCGCTCGCTACCTTTACATGGAGTCGAGTCGTGTTCGAAGTACAAGCTTTCCCCTCTTCTCCCCGCACCCGACCGCCATACTATTCTCATAATTTTCTTCTTTGGATTCCGGTCACACTCGCCGCTCCCAGTGCAGTTTCGACTTTCCAGATCGATTTATTGCAAGAGTTAAATACCATCGCAGCTAATAAATAGTCATTCGTCAGTATTCTCGAGTTCGTTGTATCATCAGGAATTAATTTCTAAATGGTTCCCAGTGGCGTGCTGTTAGCAGTAAATATTAAAGTGTTTAAACTGTAAAGAGAATACATTGAAATAAAATTTATTGAAAGGGTTGGCGTGGGTGTATAGTCTATACTAGTGGTATTCAACCTTTTTTATTCGCGTACCCCCAGATACAATTTCTCTTCAACTTTGTACCCACAAAGTTGGTGTATAATTCAAGTTATACATAGTATATAATCTACATTA